GGCGGGACTTTTTCCGGCGTAGCCGGTTCGCCTCATTGCCGTACCGAGCGAAAGCGGTCTCGCATCGCATACAGCAAGCAAGCACGCCAGCAGCAGTCCGCTGCTGTTGCTTGCTTCTTCTCTGCAATCACTCACTGACACTACTCAGACTCACGACTATCACGACGCATGAGCGCTGTTCGAGTCGTCCAATCACAGTGCCTGCGATCTGGCATTCGCTCTGTCAGCCTTGTTCGCACGCCTGTCGCCCTCTGCAGAGCGCCATTCATCTCCAACACTTGCACGCGCACCATCAGGATGACTTTTTCATCAGCCAACGCTCGAGTCAACTCGCTCGTCTCGCACTTGGGCCAGCACACGGGCAAATTGCTGCAAGGTCAAGTGGCCATCATTACCGGATCAGGTCAAGGCATTGGTAAAGCTGCCGCATTGCTCTTTGCAGCTCACGGCGCAAACGTGGTGGTGAGCGACATTGACGCTGCTAAAGCTCAAAGCACCGTCCATGAGATCGAAAAAAGCGATGGCGGCAAGGCGCTCGCTTTTGCTGGAGATGTGATGAAGGAAAACTTTGGTGAAGAGGTGGTCAAGGCTACGATTGAAAAGTTTGGCAAGGTGAGCGAGGCGAAGCGCGCAGAACGTGCGAGACGCTGGGTGCGCACTCATCGACTCGAGTCCATGTACCCGCGCAGATCAACCACTTGATCCTCAACGCAGGTTTCACAAACGACAAGATGATCCACACGATGGATGATGCTACCTTTCAAATGATGCTAGACTGCCACACCGTAGCTCCTTTCAGGGTGCTTCGCGCCGCAGCTCCTCACTTTAGAGTCAAAGATCCGGAAAAGAGGGAGAATAGGAGCATCGTCTATGTCTCTTCCACTTCGGGCACGCACGGCAATGTCGGACAGCTCAATTATGCCGCCGCAAAGGCCGGCGTCGTGGGTGAGTAGCGAGGCGCTGAGAGGAGCAGCGAGGCGCTAAGAGGAGCTGGAGACCGAGCAGGATCCATCCCTCGCTCAAACCACGCGCGCTTCACACAGGCATGAACAAGACGACTGCAAAGGAATGGGGTCCATTCGGCGTTCGCTCCAACTGCGTTGCCTTTGGCTGGATTCAGACGCGCCTCACAGCTGCCAAGGAGGAAGGAGCTTCGATTGAGGTGAATGGCAAAAAGGTTGCGCTAGGTATTCCGGGAAGAGGCAAAAAGGATACCGCAAACGACGTCAATGCCACGATTGACATTCCTCTTCGAAGACCCGGAGAGGCCGCAGAGGCTGCTGCTGCCATTCTCTTTCTGGCCAGTCCGTTGGCCAGCTACGTTTCCGGCCAGACTCTTGAGGTCACTGGTGGTCGTGGCATTTAGGCGGAGCGTGGAGAGAGTCTGCGTTGCGCGTAGTTTGCGTTGCGCGTGGAGAGAGTGCGCGCTACCGCCAATGTGAATGTGCATGCTCGTACAGTTCCCGAACGATGGCATCGCGCCGCGGCTCTAGTCTGATGGTGTAGCGTGTTGTGCGACGTGGCGACTGGGATGCTGCTGGGTGAGCCGTCTATTTCCGACTCTTTGTCATTCGTATCCGGCTGGCTACCTGCTGCGAGGGCCTTTTACCGACCAGAGAGATATGCGCGCATGTTTAACGCAGCTGATTGTCCGATGGCCAGCACTGGGTCGATGAAGCCGCAAGACGCTGTCAGCCCATTCAAAGCACCCTACGCCGCAGCGAAACGCCCTCACTCACGCTGCCTCTCATCCTCGTCCAGCCCTCTCAAAAATGCAACCATCTCTGAACTCATGCCCACTCCGTTTGCACTGCCGAACCCTGGCGCGTCGGGGTCCATGCCCATGGTCTGGCCCTGGTTTGCGCTGCTGGAGCCTGACCCGAGTGTATTTGCAGTTTCGAGGCTTGACGTCGATGTCGTAGCTGCCAAATGCTGCGCCGCGGCGTAGATCGAAGTGATGCGGGCAGTGTACGTCTGGAGTCGGACGGAATGGGGAGAGAGGTGGTGAGAATGATATCGTCGCGATTGTATGCGCTTTGCAAGGCAAGTACCCACAGCGGCGAGCCTGTCTAGGGTATCCTTGTCATCCGCGAATGCACCCAATCGCATGCCCAGTGCGTACCAGTAGTTGTTGAGCGATCGAAGCAGCACGCTCTTTGGATCGGCATCCAATGCAGCCTTGACTCTGCTATTGTACTGTCTAGGAAAGCTGAGATTTGTATAGTCGTGCTCGGTCAGGTACTCTGCCATC